GACTCTTCGTGACCCCATGAACCATATTGCGCCAGGCCTTCCTGTCCTTCACTGCCTCCCTGAGTTTGCTCAGTTTCATGCTCATTGCTTCAGTGATGCTATCTAACCATCCTCTACCGTCCTCTTCTCCTTTTGCCTTCAATCTTTCCCAGCATCAGGGTCTTCTCCAAAGAGATCTCTCTTCGCACTGTTTGTCCTAAGCTGTTATAAAACCAGCTTTCTGTAAATACAGGTGTAGTAATTTTACAAGAATGCTGGTAACGTTTATCACTTTTCCATTTAAAAACACACCAATCTTGTTATACCTGTACAGTTCTCCCTTGCATACCCCCTCCCCACACCTCCATAGGTTACTGTTTTTGCCTCATCTCTCAAACATTTCTATCAACACTCCTATCATACTGTCTCAGTGGAGCAATGAGGGCCACCCCATAGGATTCTGGGCCAATTTCTCATTGCCCTGTGAAATGGGTGATTGGGAAGCCTAAGGATAATAGTGGTGGGCAGGGTGATGCTAGTGATAACACAGAAAGCACCACTGTTCCCAACTTCCTTTCCAGGACACCACCCACCAAGGTGAAATGAATTGGATTGAGTTGCCACAGAGGGGAGCGAGCATTTTTCTTCACCTGGAGTTATAGCAGGTGATGATAGCAGCTGTGTCTGAATATCTCTGGAGTGGCTGAATTGTATATACCCATTTTAGGTAGTAAGAGATTCTCAACCAATGATGAAAACACAGAACTTGAGGTTAATGTAGAGGAGTACAGAGATGGCCTTAAAGAATGTATTGAACAGTCCTTAAGTAAATGACAATTTAACCCTGAAAGGGAGGAAGGAGTGAAAAAGAAACTCAAGATTGCCCTACCTTGATTCTTTTTTGGGAATCTTTGTCAGGGTTTCAAGATGGTACTGTTATAGCCTATAACAATAACATAGAGTTCTAGTAGTTGTTGTGGAGTCTGTTTCCTGACCTGGCCTACCTCTGAAGACTAACAGTTAAGCTGAAGCCCTCTTTTTGTTCTTTGGTTTCATTTGGGTACTCCTGGCCTCTGTGTATTTGTAAGCAGGCTTGAATTATCCAGGGTAAAATATCTAGGCTCTGGTAAGGGCACAGTGGGTGTTCTTTGCATTCTCCCTTCAGATAAAATCATATTGGTTAGCTCCTAGGTACAATTCAAGGCATTGGTTGTGAATTTTAGAGTCCTAAATGGCTTGGGACCAAGGTATCTAACAGACCACCTGCTCCCATGTAGATTTTTTCTGATCTGCAAGAACAACTCCATCGGGTCTCTATTACCCCATTCACTGAAGCATCCTAGTATCTACATGGAAACACGTATTTTAAGTGGCTACTCTCGTTTTATGGAATTCCTTACTATTTGAAACTTGTCCAGCTCTACTTTCTGAATGATAACAATGCAGGAGTGTCCATAGTGACAGTCACTGATGTCAAAATGATGGGCACAACCAGGCAATGTCCCATTCCTCTTTAACATGCATTGCATAGTTCATATTGACTTAAAAAGGGCCAGGGTTGGATCACCTGATTGCATCTGCCATTGACTGGTGCTGTGGACTTACCATGAATGTGAGTCCTAATTATTAGGAACTAGAAGACATTTACGTTGTTCAGTTATGTACATAGCTTGCATTCACATAGCTTGCATTTTTTAAATCTTTATTGTAATTAGTAAAAGCTTTTAGTTTAATTGCTCTTTTCCAGGTTATAGATTTTTTCTACTAATAATTCAAGACTACTAAAATTTACAGTAACTGGCAGCAATTTCACATATGTAATAGTATGTGGACAAATGGTCTTCTTTCCCTGATCTGCTCCTGAGTGCAATTTTTCCCAAGTCAGGTTCCACCGAGAATTTTGGGCAAAGAAAAGTGGGTAGAGGAAATTGGTAGCAAATTGTGTGTGTGTGCATGTGCAGGGTGATACTTCACTTTCATTTGATACTCTTGAATTCCAAACTAGACCCTCCAATTTATACAATTAGGGCAAGTCTAAATGAGGTTTGGATTGAAAGAAGTGTCTGTTCACTGTCATATGTAGTGTTCACTGTCATATGTAGTTTGGACTCCAATTATGGAGGCATTGGATTTTGATAAGTGGTTGAAGGTTTTCCTCTTTATAAGAAAATCATTCATTTTCTGTTCAGCTCTTTGAAATCCTAGCTTTTGTTCTAAAATTAAAGTACCAAAATCAAAATCTAGATTTTATTCTTAAAAGCAATATACAGGTAGTCCTTGTTTAGTGACTGCCTCCTACAGTGACCATTTACAGTTACAATGGTGATGAAAAAATAACTTTGCAACCAATCCTCGTATTTACCACCTTTGCAGGCCTGTAAAGCAAAGGAAAGTTGAAGTAAGTTCATAAGCACAGTCACTGTTTCACTTAGCAACTGCTTTGTTTAATGACCAAATTGCCAGTCCCAACTGTTGTCACTAAATGAGGACTACCTGTATGTGAGTGTGTTACTATCAGCCTCTTCTATTTTCTCTTTTCCTTCATAAGTTCAGCAAGGGGAGACAACATGACCTCTACCACAGTCCTTCTGGAACTCGAGGCACAATTTCCTGCTATAACTACTGAAGACAGTTACCCGATAACCCAAGGAATTCCTGTTCCTCACTACCAGAGAATTTCTTTATGCTAACTGTAGTACTGCAAAGATTTCACTTTTATCACGTACTTCTATGAAGCAGTAACTGAAAAAGTTTAAATCCAAATTGTGTTTCTAAGGACAAGACTTATACTAGCTGAATTCCCTGATCTAGCACCCTCTACATGTGTAGGTTTACAACTCCCTCAGTTCCCAGCCAAAAGCTTGGGAAAGCTCTTGTGGAAAGCTCCAGTATAGTCTCTGAACAAATTTGAATTCAAATCCAGTCTTGATTGATTAATACAACAATACTGTATATACTCACGGATAAGCCAAAATTTTTAAGTTCCAAAATACACCTCCAAAATTGGATTCAGCTTACCTGTGGACCAGAGTTCAGATTTTTTAAAGCCCATCACAGCCTTAAAATTTTGTGGTTTTATAAATGATGTAATAGTTTGTAGTTTCCCGCCTGGCGCTCTGGTTAAAAATTTGAGGTTCAGCTTATCCATGGTGACACATTTTTCATGGTATTTTGGTTGAAGTTTTGAGGGCCAGCTTATCTGCAGATGAGTTTATCTGCGATTATATATGGTAACTACTTTATATCAATTACTTGAACATTCTTCAGGAAACTTAGTAGACTGGGCCCATAGATACTACTGCAGACTCACGCAGAATAGATTACAATGCCCAGCAAACAATTCCC